ACGACCATTAACTCATTGGCTGCCAAAGACGTCTATAGACGTCTTTTATGTTTTTCAACGAGAGTGGCTTGGGGGACGATCTGCTAAAGCTTGTCCGTAAATATCGGCTTCTAGACAGAGTATGTAGTAACAAATTGACCCTCTAGGGGGCAGTGCCACTTTTGATGGGAGATGAGCATAGACTGTAGGCAAATAAGAAAAAGGTAACGGTTCTATGAGAGAACATGTCGCCGGTGAGACGCAAGTCCAGGAAGAACGGAATAAGGTAGAAACACATTTTTTTTCCTGATGAAAGAAGAGAGTCTACTCTTTCTTTTGGTGTGTTCGGTGTTTACATAGTCATAGCACAAACTATTCTGTGGCTCTTGAAAAATCAGTCAAAATGCTCAAAAAACTCTGGCAGTATGGGACTCTGTTCTGAAAATGGCTGCCAGTCAATGAGTTAAGAGTCAAAGGGGACATATTGTGCAAAACCAAGTTTTTAATCGTTTGATTGTGTACATTTGGGACTGTGCAGGGCCTATCAGCAGGCATAGTGTGTGTGGAAAAGCGTTAGCGTTAGCGTGGTAGCGTTAGCATGGTAGCGTTAGCGTGCCGACGTGGGCACACCTCCCTGAAGAAGTGGGCGGATTGCCTGTGTCTCATTTGCATTTAAAGAGACAGGCACTCCAAAGCGAGCGCTCTGAACGGGGCTGTTTTGGGTTGGGGTTAGGGTTAGGGTTAGGGTTAGGCAGGGGGACTGAACTGCTATTGGGCTTCATCCTTATGGGATTTTGACCAAAGCTTGTCACAGACATTACATTAGGACACCAGGGAGCTAGCTTAACTTGTTGAAATAGGGTATAATATGTCTCCTTTAAACGTCTCTTAGAGGAACCGCCACAGGGGGGCGCTGCAGGCTGCAGTTTCAGGGCTTCTGCTCTTTAAAATAAGCCGTCTCTAATGCCAAAGTCTTTTATTGTTAGACTTATACTTGGCTTTATTTGTCTCCTGGGGATGATTCCTTCAGGGAAATTCGAGTTCCAGCAGCTTAACAACACAGAAGAAGCAGAGGGCAAAAAAATAGAGAAAAAACAAAGAGCTAATTTTTAAAATCTTTTTGCCATTTTTTCTTTTAGTTTTATATTTTAGGAAACTAATATATATATGCAGAAATCTAAAAATATAAAACTCAAAGAAAAAATGGCAAAAAGATTAAAACTCCTTACAAAATATAAAAGTCAGAGTGGCATTGAATTAAATAACATTAGATCAGATTATATTGGTTTAAATGATAAATAAATCTGTGCCATTTGATTTGAATTCAGAAAGCTAAACGTCACCAAACCTCCTCTAACACGTGTTATACGTGTTATTTCCGTCCTCTTAACGTGGTTTTATTGGGCTCCAGAGGTGAGTTCTGCCTCCTCTGGTTGTTGAAAAGCAGATTACATCCCCGGGACTAAAAATAGACCATAGTGCTCCTGGAAGCAGAAAGCATGAGTCAGCACTTCTGCTCCCGGCTCCCGTTCGGCTCTCCTCCGATCCGTGCCTCCTTTAAGGACCACTGACTAAGGCGGGATTACAGATTTATGCCCGGTGGGTTATTGTTTACGTCTCTAACGGTGATGGCCGTCCTCTCCCCTCTGAGGCAGGTTTACTGCACCGTGTGCTGCAACAAGAAGAGCCGGCTGAAGTACATGGAGCGGGAGGCCCGTGTCTGCGTCCTCTGCTTCGACGCCATCCAGAAGGGTGAGTCCCCACGCTCCGGTTTTAAGGCGGAAACACACGTTTGCTGGGAATCGAGCAAGAGAAAAATATATGTTACAGTAGAACCTCTTAAGTAGGACCTCTAAATAATCTAAAGAACCTCCACAGAGGAGTCTAACTGGTTCCAGGACCAAATTCGTATGCTAAAATATTGGTATGTTGGTTCAAATCTTCCTTCAGAATACACTTTAATTCCTAGAATTGGTACCAAAAAGCTAATTAATTAACCTACTTAATAGATACTGCAACGCAGAACCTCTACAGAGTTTAACTGTTTCCATGACCGACTTCTATGTTAAAATATTGGTTTGTTGGTTCAAATATTCCATCAGAATACACTTTAATTCCTAGAATTGGTTCCAAAAACCTAATTAATTAACCTACTTAATAGATACTGCAACGCAGAACCTCTACAAAGTTTAACTGGTTCCAGGACCGACTTCGTATGTTAAAATATTGGTATGTTGGTTCAAATCTTCCATCAGAATACACTGTAATTCCTAGAAATGGTACCAAAAAGCTAATTAATTAAACTACTTAATAGATACTGCAAAGCAGAACCTCTAAATACGAATCTAACTGGTCCCAGGACCGACTTCTTATGTTAAATATTGGTATGTTGGTTCAAATCTTCCTTCAGAATACACTTTAATTCCTAGAATTGGTACCAAAAAGCTAATTAA